ATAGCCATGCTGGTTTTCATATAAAAATGTCCCTCCACTCCAATCTTCTGGTAAAACCAAAGCTCTGTGGACTCTGGGTTTTCACATTCCCAGAACACCACTACTTATCCTCAAGGTCTAAGAATCACTGGCCCCACTTGATCCTAACCCACTGGTTGGATCCTGGCCCCTCTTAACTTGCCCACAGCCAATGCCTTTGGCCAATTCCTGTGTGGCTGAGGCGTTGGAGGCAGCCTGGTCTCAGACCTGTGGGGCAGAACACGGAGAGCAGACTTTCCTTCCCTCCTCCAGCAAACATCCTTAAGCCTCACCAAGCCTCCTGAGTTGAGCAATTTACTGCTGACTCAGTGTTTCTTGATGACTCATATCAACTGTTTGAACCATGGTCAGTTAAGTCGCAAAGCCACTGGGTGACTCAAGAAGGGGCAGAACTAACCCTGGCTGATTTCCCACTAGGATGCAGACACCATGTCACACTATCATACTTAACTCACACGGACCAGGATGGGTACCACTGTCTTCATTTCATCCATGAATTATTTAATACTATAGGATGTAATGGACACGTAGCACGAAAGCAACTGAGGTAGGATTTAAACCCATGCTTTTCTTACGAAAATCCTGTTCTCCTTCCACTGTCCATCTGCTGCATCTTTTTGCCCATTTCACTCATTAAGGCCTCCATCAAAGAATGAAAGACACAGAGACAGGAGGTGAGGTTGGGATGTATGAATTCTGCCATCAGCTTCAGAAACATGAAGAGGGTATGGGAGAGGTAGTGGATTGAAACCAATGTCTAAACTGACATGTCTCTTATCATCTATGGAAAGAATTTATCTTGGTCCACCTTGCTCTTCTCATAGCCATAGATTTGACAGAATGGTTGTAAGAGGGGCCTTAGAGATCTACAGAGGGAACACAGCTTCACCAAGCCCCTCATTTATCACCAGCGAGAGTTCTGGTCTTATTAATAACTGGGGTTTAATCTTCTACATTCAAAGAGACTCCCATTACCCAAAACAATAATTTTTAAAATTACCCCGCAGTGTGTCAATCGCATATTGAATACTAAGAGTTACTTAAAGCTAATAAATGCTTTTAGAAATTATTTGAACATTTGATGAATTAAAAGTTATGAAATATTTATAAGCAGTAACAACACCATTTAGCACCATTAATAAAATAAATACATTAGAGAGAATGAAATTCATTACTATTTTACCATTAGACATTGATGTCAATGACTGAATATTGCTCCAAATTACTTGTAAAATAGACCAATTATTTCAGTGTGATTAATCTTTTCAATTATTTCTTTTATGTAGTTGTAATTTGAAAGTAATTTTCTCGTGGGAGTACAATGACCTCAGCACACTAGGTCCTTATTTATTTATATTTAAAAACCTTGGTGTCTGCCCCCCATTTCTGGGTGATTTCCAGCGGTCAGATATTTAAAATAGTTGCCCAAGCAATCATTATTGTTCCTAAGCATTTTTTATTGGCTTTATTAGTGATTATGAATAAGCCCTCCCAAAATTAGAGACTCTCTGCCACCAGCAGTAACATTAGCAGAAAAAGGAGGGACTAGCAAAATCCTTTCCTTGTTCCACCAGCTATGGCCCTGCTGTGTTAGACCCTGAGCTCAGTCTGAGGAAGGCCACATGGTAAGCAGGTTGAAGGACTTCTAGGCTCTTCCCTGGCCTCCAACCATCCCCACAGGATTAAACAGTCCTATTCCTTTTCATTACATAATGAATTTTGTGTACCCTGACACACAAAAAAAATGACTTTATTAGAGATAAAAGCATAGATCATAGGGAGTAGGGAAGAGAACTCTGCAGCTGCCTTCAAAATCAGAACGTGGATCCGGGCTGTTAGGCTCTGTTGGGAAGGTGGTAACCTTTCCCTGGCCCATCGGCTCGGACAGAGCCCAGACAGAAAGTGAGATGTGGGAGTGAGCCTGCAAGCACACCTGGGTAGTTGTGCAGGATTAGTCATCCCTGGTTCCAGAGAGAGGGCATTCAGCTCAGTCAGGGCCACAGGACAGAGAGGGCAACAGTATTGATTGTATCAAGCTCTGTGCCAGGGGTTCTACACACAATATCAGTTTCAATTCCCCAACAAACCTATAATTATGTATTATTAGCCCCATCTACTGATGAAAAAATTGAAACTCATAGACTTTAAAAAACTCTTCTAAGCTCAAGAGGGTGGTCAGTGATGGAGCTGGGATTCCACCCTCATTCTGTCTTATTACAAAGCCTCAATCTCTCTCCTACCCTGTAACAGGAATATCTTCCCTCAGTGCAGACCAGGAGAAAAGAACTGGTAGTTTTTAGTAGTTTGAGTGCAGAGATTAAAAAAGAAGACATAGTCTTTGATTCCAGGAACTTAGCATCTATTGAGTGAGGCACATAAATAACTCTGATAAGAAGTAAACTGTTCTAAAATAGAAATGCCTTACACATCCACACTGACCCCTTCACACCCCTTGGTGACCACAAGAGTCCAAGCTAGAGAAGGAGTGCAGAGAACATCTGCTTCCCCATGGAGCCCATCTGTTCTTGGACCTGGAGCCTCTGATGGGAGGTAGCTGGACCATTAGGATCTTCCTAAGTCTCTTGACCAATCCACCTTCCCTAGAGAACCAGAGGCAGACTGCTTTTCTCCCTCTGCTAAGAATATGTCCTGCCAGAGGAAACACTTTCTGGATCATTAGAGAAAGTAAGAGAGGTCAACTCTCTTGGTTTCATAAGTGTAGAGAAGCAGACAAGAAACAGGTCTTTTAAACTCTACAACAGACTCGCTGCAAATGCAACATAAACTATAGAGGAACAATTTTGTAGGTGAAAGGGAGTTGTAGGGTAAGGAAGAAAAAAATGTGCAGAACTCGGTGAGATCCTTGATCAAAGGTACAAATAATTTTTTTGCAGGAGTAATTGTGCTGAGCCTGGAGATTTGTAGGCTCATTCCCTTCTCGTGATGTTGCTCAAATAAGGTTGCCAATTCTGGGAAATGATACCCTCTCCCTGTCACATTCCTGTAAACTAGCTCCCTCTTGGCCTCTTTTGGACGGTACATAGGTCCTTGACATCTGCGAGGATTGATGATGTCCAGAGGCACTCACAAATCCCCAAGTTCGTGAGTGCGGAAACGTTTGTGCAAGCTCCTGGCTTACTCCCAAACCGCATGTTTCCTGTACATTGCCTCACATCACAGGTTAACCACCCTTTCAACTTGAACTGAATTTCAATCTATCACATTATGGTGATTTTTCTGTCCCCCACACATAAACCAGTTTTGATTAAAGAAAAAAAAAAGTACACACTTTGTAAGTTCTTGCAAAACTAGCGATGAGTGAAGAGACAGAGCACAAGACGCTGGGAGGTCAGTTCCCCACCTAAGGGAGTCTCTTTCACACACAAGCTCCAAGAGGCATGAGATTTAACACCGGACCTCTACATGCAACAGACGGCTGTATGTTAAGGGCCTTCATGGTTGTTCATGAACAGTCTCCAGCGGTTCTCAACCTGTGGGTCGTGAACAATGAAAATACATCCTGCATATCAGATATTTACATTATGATTCATAACAGTAGCAAAATTATAGTTATGAAGTAGCAACGAAAATAATTTTATGGTTGGGGGTCACCACAACATGAGGAACTGTATTAAAGGGTCACGGCATTAGGAAGGTTGAGAACCACTGGAAGACTTTAGGTCTGTGAGTGCCACAGGTTTCCTTCTTGTTCACATGTCATTCTTGGGCTTCTAAGACCACACATTCCTTGGCACAGGTGAGAGCTCCCTCCCAGGGTACCTCTGGGCAGAGAAGACCCAGCAGGAGAATAGCAGTAATGAAATCAACTTCCTCCCGAAGATTCTCCTGTACCCGTCTCTATACCCTCTGCATGTGGAAACAACAAAGAACGTTTATAGTCATGAAGCGAGGCCTTCTGAAGATCAAGGGAAGATCAACCTCATCTACAGGGTAGGGCAAAAGAAGGTTTACAGTTGTGATATGCAAAACACAGAGTTCATTTGTGTATTATTGTTTATTAATTATTGTATTATTTTCCATGCAAACAGCTATAAACTTCCTTTTGCCCCACCCTGTGTCTACTTATGATCCATTGCATTCTGCTTACCAATCAGAATTGAGGTAATAGCTAATAAAGAGATACATATAAAATATGATTTTGAAGATAGGAATACAAAATAAAAAATTCTGTAGAGGGAGGGAGAAGTAGACATCAAAAAACTACATAGATAGAATTACGGTGATATAGTTCAGACTTTCCTGGTTAAAAAAAAAAAAAGGCAGAAAAAAACCCAACCCAATCAATTATGCTTCAGGAGAGAGATGGCATCTCAAAATAAATTCACAGTCAGGGACTTAAGCCAAAGGAATTCAATGACACAGTGGACCATGCTCCAATGGTTTGTACAAAATAAGTGAAAAATTTGACATATAACCATTTCCCATGTTGTTTCTAAATAATAGCTTAAACCAAATCATTAAAAAATACTTAATATAAGTTTTGCCTCAGGAAAAACAAAGTATAATAATCATTATCAAGTTGGCGGGGTGAGGAGTTGGAAGAGCTGGCAGAATGTGGGTAATTACTGAAACTGGGTGGGGGGTTTCTGATGATTCGTTGCATTATTCTATTCATTTGTGTACATTTGAAATTTTCCACCATAAAAATCTAAGGAAGATGGTGAAATCATTCAGCAACCAGAGAATTGAAGCTAATATGTTATCTAATGAAGACTATATTCTGTGCGATGAAGTTTTAAGTTAGGCAGATATAATGTTATATTAGATCTTTGAAAACCAACCATCTGGGCTGTGAAGCACTTGATGTTCAGAATCAGCCCTAAGCACTGTAGACTTTTCTAGATAAACGCGCACATTCCCAGCTAATCATGGTGGTGGTTACTGACACACTTGAGACAGCAAGCTATGGAGGAGTGAAGGGGCAAGCCAGACCCAGTTACCTTCACTGCAGTTCTTCAGGGCAAAGAAGTCCACTGCGGACAAGCTTCGGTTTCCACTTGAGATGTACTCCAGGGCCACTCGGAACGGGTTCTCTGGGCGCCCAATTCTTCCCTGCAGCACCGTCCAGCTGGTGGCATAGAAAGCGAGGGAGAAGCACAGAAAACAGTGATGAGAAGCAGGCCTAACCTGCAGAGAGGGACTGCCCTGCAGTGGCGTCAGGGCCCACACTCCAAGGGCATTGCCAACAGGAGATGGAGCCCTACATGGCTTGCAGGAGAGCGGCCCTGAAAGCAGCACATGGACATTTGTTCCTGTCTTGTCCAGCTATCTCAGAGACCCAATATTTAAACCCACTGTGGCCACTGGTGGTTCCTCCCCCGCCCCCCCCCCACATTCTCTTTAGGCAGTTACAGACCTGTGAGATATTTCAGTAGCTTGTCTTACAGGAAAAGATATATATACTTGAGAAAACCTGGCAGCAGAGGGAAGGAACAGCCTTTAAACCATTTATCTGTCTATTTATAATTATCTCTGGAAAGAATGCTTGGTTTTCAGAATTTTATCTGATCCCAAAGTCTCAGAATCCTCAGGTTTGCTATGTAGTTACTTAAGGAAAGCTTGCAAGGGCTATTTATTTACTGCAGGAAAATTAAAGTGCACCGAAGCATGTATTTTGGGGTAAAAGTACCTAAGATTGACGTGGATTCTGCAAAAAGGTGCAAACAGAAAAAGACAAAAGCAGGTCAAACAGCAAGCTTTGCATCCACCTATCACCAAGGACACTGCCACGGTAGGGTAACAGAGAATCTGCTAAATGAACATTTTCACACCTCACTCAGGCGATTAACGTCTGGGAACAGCCTCTGTCACTGATTGGAACATCAAATTTGCTTCCCAACAATGATTCAGGTTCTTAAAGAAATATATAGTTATTTTGACAATTTGTGTGGAGAATGAAAATTATATGGACTAGTTCATATTTTCTTTCCTTTCAAAAAATAATTTTATTGAGGTGTAATTGACATACAAGAGTACATGTACTAAATGTATAATTTGATGGCTTCAAATGTATAAATTGATGAGTTTTGCTATATGTATGCAGTAATCTGCCCTTATCCATGGTTTTGCTTTCTATAGTTACAGTTACCAATATGAAATGGAAAATTCCAGAAATAAACAATGCATAAGTTTTAAATTGTGTGTTGTTCTGAGTAGCTTGATGAAATCTTGCACTGGCCTGCTCTGTCCACCCAGGATGTGAATCATCCTTTTGTGAAGCGTATTCATGCTGTATACACTGCCCTCCCATTAGTCACTTGGCAGCCATCTGGGTTATCAGACCGACTGTCATGGTATCGTAGTGCTGTGCTCAAGTCACCCTTATTTTACTTAGTAACAGCCCCAAAGCCATTCAGATAACTTTTATTACACCAAATCGTTATAATTGTTCGATTTTTATTATGTTATTGGTGTTGATCTCTTACTGTGCCTAATTTATAAATTAAACTGTATCATGGATATGTACAGAAAAAACAGAATATATATAAGGTTCAGTACTATCTGCGATTTCGGACATCCACTTGGAACATACACCTGCAGATAACAGGGGACTCTGTACATGAACTCATCACAGTGTTTTATATGGACTGACCACTAGGTTGGGCTTAGGTATAGTAGTGCAAATGCTAAGGAATTCAGGGAAAGGCTAGCTTTCTGTTTTAAAACATTTAAAGCATCCTCCCCCACAAGTGTAAAGTGATGCTTATTATGAAAAATGTTAAAAGTCCAACAATTCAGGAAAGTGGATAAAGAAAAGTCACCTAGAAGTCATTATTCAGAGATAAACCACTGTCCACACCTCAGTGAACAGCCTTTCAGCTGTAATTCTAAATAAATGAGAGCACACGGCACATGCTCTGTGCCTGCACCTTGCCACTCAACGGCATGTCTCGGCATGTTTTATTATTATGAGACAATAAATATAGACTACAGGATCAGTTCAATGATTGCATTTTTAATGATTTGTGCACTGCTCCTCATTTTTCCTTTTTACACCACGCTGAAGCCAGCCCTGTGTACTTACTTCTGTAGCCACTGCCTTGGGACACATTCCCAGAGCCTGGGTCAAGGCGCACGGACATTTAAAACTCAAACTCGGAGGCATATTGTCAGTCCTCCAACAGCGAGTCAGCCATTTGGTGGCAACACTGGAACCCATGAAGTCTTTCCATCTTTGCTAACTTTCCCTGACAAAGGTGTTGCCTGAGGCAACCACTGGTCCTTCAGCAGGCCTCCAGGATGGTAGTTTGAGTCTCTGGTTCCTGCTATGTTGCTCAGCATGCACTGGGAGTCTGCTGAGCGAAGGGGGTAGTTTTGTTCCCGTTCTATACTCTTCTGTAGTTAATTCAGATCACTGGAGCCAATGCCTCAACCATTTAATAAAAGTGTATTGTTTCCCCACAGTAGAGGCTGTAGAAGGGATATTGCTGTTGTAAAGTTTGTTCTCTGTTACTGTGCCCAGCAGGTTTTCTATCCAAAATAAAACCAGTGTAATTGAATAAGGACAAGGAGGCCTCTTGGTTTAAATGTGGGGCTGTCAAAGAAATATTGGAAAAGAAAATGTAGATGAGGGGTTCTTATGAAAACAAACAAATTAGAAATGTTCTTGCTCTTCTGAAAAATAAAGGGACTTACTTTTGAGGAAAGGTGATGGTGAAAGGCGTGACTATTCAGATTCTGCCAAGAATTGTCGCTCCCTGCTCCGAGGAATGATGGATTTTAATTCCAGGTACACAGGGGCCCTTGACAATGATTTCCAGTTCTATATTGGCACTAGCCCTCTGGATAAATGTGTCAAGAGTTTTAGGAATTAGTTTCTGAGTTACTGATGCAATAACTTTTGTCTGAAATTCTCTGGCCTCCCATAGTTTACTGCTGCAACTTTAATAACTTTCAGAGCAGTTGCCAAACATGTATTTTATAACCAGGGAAGTTGGGACCAGGAGAGGGCAAGCTTATACCTAGGGTCAGATTTGTTTAAGAGAGAGCCAAAGCCCCATGAAAAACAAATCCAAGCTCTCTCTTCTGTCTGTCTCCATTTTCTTTACTTCTATTCCAGTGCTCATAAAACTCATTCATTAGGGTCTTGCTTTCATCTTTAGCTGGTGTTCTTAGGAGGAAGTTCTCTGTTCTGACCTAGAAACAAACGTGCAGCCATATCCATGTGCTGGGGATTTGAGAACATCTTAGCAATGATGCTTCAATCAATCAATTTGACAGTGTGGGAGTCCACCTGGACTTTAGGAAGCCAGAAAAGCTGTATGGATAGCCTGTAACCATCCATTATCTTCCAGTGTGTTTCTGAAGCTTTCTGCTTCCAGTTCTGGCTCTGTCCTTCATTTGTCTGATGACTTTGAACAAGGCACTTTACTCTGAAAGTCTGAAATTGTGGATGTTTCCGGATCAATTGTATTCTTAGCCAGAGAAAGTGTCTTCAACTTTGTGTGAATTTGCTGAGGAATAACACTGACCACACTTTTTTTGCTGAGTGGCTTCACTATAATGAATAAATTACAGCCCATCAAAAAAGGCAGGAGAGATGGTTTGTGAATGTCAAGGTCCATTCTGACCTGGGGGCTGGAAGTAGTATGTAAAAGGCCTCTCAATTGGGGGTGAGTCGCATATTCTGGTCCTGAATTTGCATGGGTTGCAGTAAGTCCCTGCACCTCCTGGGGGTTGAGTTTCTTTATTAGCAAAATGTGGGCATTGAATTTAAAGTTCTGATGCCTTAACTTCTCTCACAGATTGCAGGAGTCCTGGTGACAAAACACTTCATGGAAGCCCCGAAAGCTGCAATGGACAAATAATATTCTACAGAAGGTGGAAGAAGAGTTATTAGCCCAAAACTCACAGATTTATTTCTGCAAAGCGACGCACTTCCACCCCCTTGCAGAAATGGAGACTTGCCTGAGGTCAGACACTTGGTTAAAATCAAGTATATTATTGCTCCCAGAGAGGCAGAACAAAGAGCATTGCAAACCATGGATCAGTGTATGTATCCAGTTGCTTTTCGTATCACTGGAATCACAGAGATAGAAAAGGATATGTCTACTCAGCATTGCTAGAGGGATCGCCAGTCTGGGTTTGGAGGATAGAGAGGCCAGCCAGACAGTGACATAAATATCAGAACGTGCATACACAAAACAAACAATCCTAAGAAGCTCTGGCCTGGGAACAAAAAGAATCTCTAAGGCTCCCACCATTGCACACCAGGTTAGTCTCTACATGCTTAGAGGAAATGCCCGGCATGTCTGCTGATGAGACTGAAGGGCTGGCAGTCGTCTGAAAAGGACAAAGGCACGAGTTATTTTAAGCCCAGAATGAAGGGGCACTGTTGACAGCATGTGAGGGCCAGAGATGGCAGTTGACAAGATAGAGGAAAGTGTATTATTTTGTGGCTGCGTGACATTCCAATAGGCACAATGTTGATGTGGGGCTAGCTCACAAAAGTGAGCCCTCAAACCCTACATGCTAGTCAATGGAATGCCTTTCTGAGATGGTTTTAGCTGTTGTAATACCACAAGGCCTAGATTCAGTTCTGGCTCCACCATTCACTAGCTAAGTGATCTCAGGCAAGTGATTTACCTTCTCTGATCTTTGGGTTCCTTATTTTAAAGATGGAAGCCATCAGGACCAGCTTGCTGTATTGTGAGGGTTTGTGAGAAGGATGTATGCAAAGGAACATGTTTATTAGGAGCTCAGTAAACAGGAGTTATTCTTACAGAAGACAACTGTCTTCATGGAATGACATGGGTCCATGAAACTATCTGCATCTCAGCTCACTTATGAGATTCAAGGGGGAAAAGAATGTAGGTAAGAGAAAGTGATAAGGACACTTGTAATTTAAGAATAGCAGCTACCTTATTTGTTTAAACAAACAAACAAAAAAACAACTTAGTTAAATTAATCTTCATATGTTAGGCATAACCCCAAGAAGTTATGTTGAAACACCCATATAAGAAAACATATTAGGATGAGATTGTAACAACAGATCAACCTTCTGACCAGAACCTCCAAAGTATCCCATCTCACTTATAGTAAAAGCCTCTTATTTACATTTGCATCTTC